TATAGTCCATACAATTTCATTGCTTTCACTACAGGAATTTGCAAAATTCATTTCTCGCCTGTCTCTTGCTATAGCTTGCCTTGCATGGCACCAAATGATCTGCCTGTTTGTTGTGCCATAGAAATTCAATCCATTTCAGAATTTAATTGCATTGGAAAACAGTGTAATAGTCAGCCTTGCATTTCAAGTGCTGCCATTTACCTCTTTTTTTGCTTCTGTAAATGGAATGGTTTTTAGAAGTAGCTATAAGATTAATTTTACTGTAGATTTATCAGAAATTCCTTTATTTTTTTTAATGCTTACTCTGGCATCCTGCAGATTGCAGGCTTTTTCACATTCCTTTAGGTAAGGTGGGTTTTAGAAATGTTGATGCAACTTGAGCATGTAGCTGGCTAGATCCACATAAATTTTACAAATTAATTTATCTAAGCAACATTTGTTTCCTTTAGTAACTACAGAGAATAAAAATAGCCTAATCTTTTTAATGCTGGGGTGGATTTCATCATTTTGGCAGCTCCTAAATGATTAGGAGATCCCCATATACAGTAATCCTTTTTTTCCATTTTTTTTTTTAAAGAAAGGAAGCTGTAGAGGAGGGGAGCAGTTGTGGAAGTACATTGTAAGGAGACATGAAAAGGCTTTGAGGTCAATGGCATGCAGAATTCCTTCCTCTAATGTCTGATTAAGTATTCTGGTTCCCTCTTTGCATCACATGTTTGTTCAGCAGTGCATTAATAGGGTAGCAGTTGTCTTTCAATGTTTGTCATCATAGTAGCTGTTCAGTAGTGGCAATATTTGAGGCTAAATGCAAGTAATGGATGCATTCCGCTGTCTTAGTTGACCTAACTACACCATTTCTCATCATTTGTATTTGGCATCTTTGGAATCCTAGGCAAACTTAATCTTTAACTTGCAAATGAAACTCAGATTTATAAGCAACTACAAAGCAAAGGCAAACTATTAAATCTAATGTTGTACACACTTGGCTAAAGCATCGTGATCTAATCTAAATGTATTATATCGGGGTAATAAACATTAATGGAATTGATAAGTGTTGCTGCATACACAGTATTGTGCAAATACCACATAAAGGTTAACATATTAAAAAGGTAATTCAGGGATAACCTGTAAGAGAAAATAATGCTTTTAAATGTACAAGTAATTCTAGGACAAGGGAATTGTGTTGCAGCTATGCAGAATGCTTTTTAAGTGGCATATTTTTAATAGAGCTATAGTTCTCTTGCTATGGTCTTATGAATGTGTATATGACTCCAGTTTATTTGAAACTACCCTTTAGAGAACCAGTTTTAATCTCAGAATCTTTCTCCCCATAATTGAAGAGGTCTCTTTGCATGGAGTCAGATGCAAAAGGCTTTTAAGCAAATTGCTTTTCACAATTGATCATAACTAACTCCTGCTTTCTCCTTTTTCTTAATGCTGACGCTTAGCATACGCTCTATACAACATTCAATTAGCATGCCTGTTATGAGGTAATGTATGTTTTAGCATGTGATCCAGCTATTGGATATACATATTGTTTCTTAATAGATGAACTGACTCTTTCCTTTCCCCCTAGTGTAGAAACAGATATTTTAATTTAAATTCTACAACAGTTATTTTATCCTAAGTCAGTATAGTATGAACTGACTGTTCTTTCTGAAAGTTCATTGTATCTTGTTCTGTTGGCAGTGAGGGTACGTCTACACTAGCTCGGTAGTTCGAGCTAGGTAGGGTAATGAGGGCAAGCGGCGTTGCAAAGGAAGCCCATGCTTCATTTGCATGTTCCCAGGTGCCGCCATTTTTAAATCCCCCTTAGTCTGAACTCCGTGCCCACGGCTACACACGGCACGGAGTAGGTAGTTCGAATTAGAGATCCTAATTCGAACTACCGTTACTCCTTCTTCCATTAGGATCTCTAATTCGAACTACCTACTCCGTGCCACATGTAGCCGCAGGCACGGAGTTCGGACTAAGGGGGGATTTAAAAATCACGGCGCCCGGGAACATCCAAATGAAGCCTGGGATAGTTAAATCCCGGGCTTCATTTGCAACTCTGCTTGCCCTCATTACCCTACCTAGCTCGAACTACCGAGCTAGTGTAGACGTACTCTTACATACCCTAGATGTGACTAATGACACTTCCTTCCTGTGGTGAGAGGCTGAATAATCTTTATGCTACTAATGTTATGTAATGAAATCTCATGCTACTAAACTAGTTCAAATCCAGAACTAGTCTCTACAGCTGTGGACACCAACCGGTAGATCACGATCTACCAATCAATCTCAGGGGCTCGAAGAGTCGCTCTTGAGCCCTCTCTGAACTGTGTGCCTGCGCAGTACATTTAAATTTGATTTCCTCATTTGAGGAGCAGCTACTCACCGAGCAACAACACAGGTGAGTAGCTGCGTGGAATGGTGGGAGTTGGGAGGTCAGGAGGGCTGAAATACCCCAGCCAGCTGGCCATGGTGCTCGGCCAGGGTGTACCATGCTCCGTGGGCAGGCGCAGAGGAGAAGCCGCCTGATCAGCTGGAGTGCGGTTCCGCATCCTCCCCGCTGAACCCCC